TATTTTTAAACACTTTTAACCATGTTTGAATAAGGCTGGTAAGGTTCAAATACAACACTGGGTGTATTCACGAGTTATTGTATTGTTTGTATTGTTTATTCTAGACGAGTTCTGGAGTGGAGACCGCGTCTAGGCAGACGTAGTGTAGGACATCCTCAGGCACGATGGAGTGACGATTTGCGCAAGGTGACTGGCGGGAGCTGGATGCGAATAGCCCAAGATCGATCTGAGTGGCGTGCATTTGGAGAGGCTTATGTCCAGCAGTGGACTATGATGATGATGTATTCACGACAGGATGCGTTGTAGTGTACTGACGCAAATTGACATTCGTTTTTGATTTCGTATTTGCTATGGTGCCACGCATTTCGTGTGCCGAGCGCTCCATCTGCGTTTTGTTACCTTATCTGAGAGCGAGCATTGTGTCCAGATCTTCCAGTGTCTCAGTCATGACTACGATACCATCAGCTTTATTAAAGTGCGTATTGTACTCGCCGTTTATGCTGATGCGAAATCCTCTCCAGTCTAAAAATTTAAATGCATCCTCCACAGCCGTGCTGTGAACAGTTTCAGCAATATAACGTCGCCTTGTCTTACACATCGCTGAAGTAACATTTAACGATGCCTATTAATCAGCCAATTAATCTGCAACTTTTTTTTTCATCTTTATTGTACAATAATAATTAGGGGTTTTGTCCGTAGATATGTCACCCCTATAATTTATGTCTAAGAATGTTCATAACTACATACTACACAAAATTAACTTATTTATTTTTTAAGGCAGCTTGAATATGCAGTTTGAATTGAACGGGTGCTGCCAGCGCAGATGAGTCTGCTCTTGCTTCATTGGTTACTATTAATCGTTGTACTAAACTTTAATCGTTAATTTTTTTTTGCCTATGCAGCTGGACACGGCATTCCTTAACTTTGTTAAACCAGTTTTTTATATAGTCATAATTTTTATTTTATTTGCATTTGTAATGGAAAGTGACTTTATGAGTTATCTCATATTGAAGTCATTTTTCAATTTGACGACTCTGTATATAATACAGGGAGAAAAAAACAGCTCTTGCTGAGTTTCTTGCCGGTCCTTCTCAGTACAAGGTCTCCCGCCGCAGATTTGCGAACCGATGGTGTAGCTTTTCGACATTCACAAGTGCTTGTAACAGCCTAGACTGAATAAACGATATTGTTGTTTTTTTTTAAATTTGTATAACAGCATCGCTTCTTTAGTACATAGTTGCATCAAAATACAATTACCAGCACCTATATCGTAATTATTACTATTTATCTTTCTTCTCATACTCGCCGTCCAGGTACATTCCATAATAACGTGATAAACATCCTCTATTGCATCGCAAATACTACAATTTGGAGAATACCTTATATACCTACCTTTTTCATTAAAAATATTGTTAATTTATGTTTTGATCAGTGTTATTTATCTATATGTCGTTAGGCTAAAGATAGAAACACCAGGATCTTAATATAAATTACGGATTAACCGAGGCTGAAATCGCGCTCGACATAATTTAACTTTAGTCAGACGAGCTGATATATTTAAAGGTAGGTAATGTATACGAAAATAGATACACCTCAAAGATGATACTTTTAGCACGGTAATAATATCATACACTATTCTATCTTCATACAAACGGTCGGAAAGCGAGTCATACCTACGCCACTCGAGTTCGATGTGCTCTCGGCGGGCACCCAGTCGCGAATGCGCCGCCGCGCCGCAACGACGACCGAACGGTCTGAATTGTTTTTTATGCAGTGAGCCGTGCTTCAACATGCGTTTTGTATTGTAAATATTTGATTTAATTAAGTAGATACCTACATAATTTAGTATGGAAAAGAACAAACGACGATCAATATCGTACAACAGCACAATTGCTGTTTTTGGTTGCTTGAACTCTTCAATAACACACCCAGAGATATAATTTTTTAAATTACCTGAAATATTGGAAAGGTGTCTTACCTTTATAGAATATTTTTTATATACCTGTCTACTAGTACGTTATTCGTTTCTAATATTTAGGTATTTCGGTTTTTCCATCGGGCAAAATATCTGGAATAATATATAAATAAGTGGTTAGGATGAAAAAAGAGACAAACGAGTAATCTACCTACACTCGCGTTAAAAACAAAACTACATAAAATACTGTAGGCTGGCGTCCCTACCGCGTGCCAATGCAGCGCTCGGTGTAGGCATTTATTTTCAAGGACAGGGCGGAGTCACAATACTGTATAGATAATATTACCGTGCTTTTAGCATTCTTCAGATCTTACTTCTAAAATACTTATTAATTAGATAAAACTAGTTTTTCACGGGTTAATGCACGAAAAATTATTTATTTATTGACGTTTCGCAGCCTTTACAGGCTGCGTCGTCGGAATCAATTTTTTATTTAATTTTGTCGAGCTACCTTCGAAAGACTTTTATTGAGCGTTCGGTTATTTCATTGTTCGATTTTTAAAGTTTTATTGTCTATGTATGAATTTATTACTTAATTTAGTTAATAAAGTACTTTATTTACGAATCTTTTTTGTAACTTTGAATTTATTTATTTGACCCTAACTACCGTAAACTACCACCGGTTCCAAAATTGGGAGACCTTTCTGAGAAGAACCGGCGAAACAAACTCAAGAGAGGCTTTCTAACTCCTTCTTATGTTAAATTTTTTTTTTGTTTGCATAATTTAACTTAAGAAGGACGACGCAGCCTGCGAAACGTCAATAAATAAATAAAGTTTCGTGCATTAACCCGTGAAAAACTAGTTTTATTTAATGAGTGATGTGCGTGAAAATCTAAGAAACAAATATACTTATAAATTATTTATCAGTTCATGGCTTTCAATGTTAATCTATAATAACATTATAAAGTTTGTTTGTTTGGTTGAAAGCGCTAATCTTAGGAACCACTGAAAAAAAAACACAGATTCATTTTTCTTCCACAACATTTTTATATACTTACTCAATTAAACTCTATAAATTTTAATCACCGAAACACTGTTTGTTTACATTAAAACAACAGACGAATTTAAAAAACCAATATGGCGGTGCGCGGCGCATGACGTTCAAGTTCAACCAATCAGGCGCGCAAGGTGCGTTCAGCCACATGATATTTCACTATTTGATTATAATTTACCAAAAAATAACGCGTTAAATTGTAATTAGTATGTTACGATTTACAATCTTTCGACAGTTTACAATCTCGCCAGATAAATTATAATCTAACGGGATTTCCAATACGGTGACATATATACAAGAATGTTTCGGTTAGCTGATGTCCTTTAGAGTTAAGTTCACTAGTAGGTATGCAGTTTTTCAACGACAGCCAGTTATAGTTTTGTTAACAAAAATTTTGTAGGCCAATGTACTTTAGAAATAAAAAAAATGTTTTTCCTTCATTTTAACCATTTCGGCTATCTAATATGCCATCGATGTTACCAAAGAACAGAAACCAAGTGCTAGTGAATCTGTGCCACAACATCCTGAGAGGATCATACTGCCAAATTATTCAAGAGCACCTGATACACATTCACGCTGCATATTTACACAATATACATATTGTGATATACAAATAAATACAATATACAATATGATACAATTATGTGAAAAATAGTCAATAAGTAAGAAGCAAAACTACAGTTTTTATTTTATTCATGATTCCTACCTAACCAAGTTTTTCCTAAAAGTTATTCTTTAAAATCGCACCGAATAAAATGAATTAGTTGTAATATTAATTCACTTCATACTGACTTCATGCTAAGTTCATAGGTTGACCTATGAACTTAGCATGAAGGTAGGTATATAGGTATTTAATATTAAACATAATCTCAAAAATATTTAGTTTTCCTGATAATTTAAGTTCTCAGAAGTGTCCGTCAATAATCTTTGTTTTTACAGTCATTTACTTGCAATTTCGAACCTAGAAAATAATATTTCATGATTGTTGGTTCGTAGGCTAACAATGTATGGACGCAGAACAATGTCCTTTGGTTCGATTGAAATCTAATACCTAACGTACCGGATAATGTTTACAAATTTCTTAACCAAACAGAAATCTATATCAACATTGTTTCATGAAATCCATGGCATTACATCAATACTGTTATCCGCAGCAATGAACATCTCAGTTCTCCAGTTCAAACCGTCAATTGGTGTACTCCAACTATTAATCGTCCGAATCAACAGGGTATCAAGGAGGGGTCCATGACAGATTTACTGTGACAACTCCCAACCTTGTTATAATTAACAGGCCGGCTATCTCGAGACTTGACTTGAGGTTTGGTTGCATCGTTTGGTCCCCGAATTGTGCTTTTATTGATCCTTTGGGGATTCATGGGGCCTATGTTTCAGCTGTCACGTTTTAATGTTTGCGGGTTAGTTATATCATCATTTGTAATATGCTGAGTAGTGGATTGTTGATTAGATTGAGAATAAACTTTAATGTGTACAGTTTAATCTGTAAAACATGCTGCCTAAAGATCTAATGTACAACTTTAATGTGATCACGTATTTTTTAGAAAATTTATCAATAAATTATAACAGGTATAGACTGGTAAGGCAGTTTTAAATTTATTGAGATAAAAATTTATTTCAGATATAAATTTTAATTTATTCACCGTTTTTTAATTTATACATTTGGATTACTAAAGTAATTCCAAATTACGTTATAAGTAAAAGGGTACTTGGGTAAGATTTCCAGTTATCCTATAATTTTGGATTTAACGAATACAAATAATACATTATCTAAATCCTAATTTTATATTACCAAGAACAAGTAACGTTTATTAAAAATGTAGTAGGAAACGATGAACAACAATCCGTCTCATCTGGGAGAGTTCTTCCCAATATTGATGGTGTTATGTTGATGTGTGTCTTCTTTGTTGGCAATACCAACAATTTATTTATAGAACCTAGAACACACACTAGAATATGCTTATTTGATTTGCCTCCGTGTGGCAGTGATGATAATCAAGAACAGTTCAACTCACCTGTAAGAGTTCTCTTCGGTGGTGATGGCGTACTTCTTGGTGGGAAGCACCATCACATTGTCGTACACCCAGTAAGAGATGGCTCTAGGATGTGCCTCCGTGTGACAGTCCACAGTCACGTCCGTGCCTGATGGGGCGCCCACAAGCTGGTTCGGCACCCAGATCATTGGCGAAACTGTCACGAAAGAAATTGTGATAATTAACTTCAATTGCTTTATCAAATCAACTGGTTAGTCATTGAGGGAAGATACAGATCACCCAGATATAGATAGATGGGGATTTGTGTTAAATAAATTGATGTTACAATCTAAAATACTTGCTGCACCTAAAATTTTAAGCAAAGGATACTTATTGAATAGTCAGTAAAAGGTTATACTTCTAACACCATTATAAAACATTTAAAGGGTTTAATAATGTTTATGTTCTTTTATGGGTGGTATTAAATTTATTTCTTATGATCAATAATTAAATTAAAAATCTTTAAGTAAATATAAAAGCTGGAGCGGTTAACAAATAATTAGAAAAATGTAAAGTTTTAAAGCAGATCTCTTTAAAATAGTTTAACATATTTTGCACAATTTCCTTCGCAGAAGAACTTTCTAAAGGTAGCAAAACCATAGTAAAAACAACATTCAGCACGATAAACACCAGTGACTGTAAGACGTTTCTAAGCGTTTCAAAAATACATTCTGGTTTGAAACGTATACTGTACCATGTTTAAGAAGCATTTGTGGATGAACATCGCATGTTCTACCACCAACACTAGGACCGGCTAACATAAACACATAAAAAAAGTGTGGAAATGTGTGCAACATATATCCTCTTTCATCTGCGTCAGACTATTTAGTTACACTTCGTCGGTCGGTTCAAATACGTGTGTAACTTTAGAACAAGAATTAGCTCCGCCACTAAACTTTGCCCGCTCGGGAGCAAAACTTGCTCTTAAAAATACTAGGATCGCACAAAGATCAACTCTTCCGAACAACATCTTTATTTATTTATCGTTCTCCATGAATATGTGAGAGGATCTTACAAAACGTTGGAACGTGATGTCTCCAGCAAAGAAGACAAGATGATTTTGGCTAGGTTCAACAGTTACATCTACTTAAATTCCTTTGATTATTGCGACTTCTTGTTTTGTCAAAATCCCCCTATATAAATATTTTAAAATTCAGTACTTTTAATACCTTGACTTTTACTTTGAGAGTTAACTGAACTCCAATTACAGGCCTTATAATTAAATTTGGCAGCAGTCTATCGGTTTCATTCTCTATAGAGCATAATAATCACATACCATTATCGAATTTAGTTTAAGCTTTAGACAATAATATCTGAATCCCAAATGGCTCAATAACTACTCGAGTTTATAAAATATCAAAGGCTCCTTCGCCCACTCTGTTGGCAGTTCGTTATCGATAATTGCTTCTTATGCTTCCGTGCACATTACTCCTTATGATAAATTATTCTCAGAATTTATGACGACTATCAGCATCATGATGTTGTGGTTGAGTAACCTGTATAGGAAAATCCTTTCGTCAAGCACGTATCTACTTAGTTTTATTTATACTTCATGCTTCGTCCTCGAGATTAGCTTGAATAACACATGGAGCGTTTTCCATTTAGAAAAAAAGTCGACACTGTGTTGCACTGTGTGGTAACAGTGTTACCAATGAAAAGTATTGAAGTTACCAAGCTTTAGTTGGCATTAGGTTTTTGCTATAGTATCGTCGACACAGTGCAACACAGTGTCGACTTTTTTTTCTAAATGGAAAACGCTCATGTGGTAGTACGCGTAGCACGCGCCATTTCACACTATATTGAGAATATATAAACTAAAAAGAATAAAATTATTAGTTTTTCTTTTCTTTAAATTTGAAATATGGAGCCCTAGCGCCCGTCATAGCTGTCATTCGCTTTTTAGTGTGTCGCCGTTTCACATCTAGTTTTATTTCAATTGTGTCAAAAGTGATTATTTAGGATGCCCAAACGTAAAAAGGATAATTGTGAACATATTTAACGGACGATTAGAAGATTGGAGAGAAAATTGGAACGTAAACGTTCGTCATCGGTATCTAAAAGTATGTACATTAAGTATTTTTATACATAGAACTTCACTTCAGATAAGTTCGTTAATTCTCTAATTATATCGATCGTCTCAAATTTTCATGCATCGACTTTACTAACAGAACTCATTGCAGGGCTTAAAACTGAATGCAAAAACAGAGCCGTCAGTCCTTCTGTAAGTGATACTTGTTCAAGCAATAGAGAAATTTCGCTGCCCACTTCACATAAGCATAAAACAACGAAGAATTACCGAGACATAAAGAACAGGGAACGTATCACGAAAAAGCAGCAAGTTATCTTACATCCGTTATAATGTAGCGTATCAATCAAGAACGGGATGAAATAGGACAGAGCACTGGTACATGAAACTCGGTTGGAAGCAATTTATAAACTTTCAATCATGATGGATAGTGCGGGGCACGCGGCCCCTACACCGATTTCTCACACAAACCTTTGGGATAATAAAATCTACACCGAGGATGTAAATTCACATTTCGCGGACTTTATGGTGGCAATTTTCCACCTCGGTTATATTACTTTTGCCGCTTGACGCTATTTAAATATTCTACGACGTTTTAAAAATTTATCAAGTCCCCTCGTGAATTTTCACATAAGCCTTTTATTAGAAGTAGGTGAGTTTTGTGATGGCGTGAACTCGTTGTTGGTGTGTTCGTTGGGAATACTGTGACGGTAAAGTTTGAAATTGCATTATTATAAATATAATTTGAAAATATTGATTTGATATTAAATAAAACTTGAATCTCTTTAAAAATCGGAAGCAAAAGATTTAACGAAAACTAGATTCGAATTTTTAATGACAAAATTGCTGTTACTGCTTTTGAATCGCTTTATGACTCCATGGTAAGCGCTATTGTGTTCTTTTCCGCTTTTGAAAAATCGCGTGATATAGCTCCAACCTCATTTATTATTAATTATTATGTATTACGATGTCTCATTATGTGTATATTACAATCTGATAATAATGAATTGCAAGATTTAACTCTTTCATTACACCAATAAATTGTAAAAGTTTTTCTTATTAACAAACGGCGATTATTTTGTATTGGGATCGCCTCTTAATCATATTGCTCTTGAAATACTTTTAAATTTTTTTGTTACTGCAGCAATAGTAATACCTATTTTTTTATTTTTTTTTAAGCATTTAACTGCTAGATGTTTAAAACTAAATAAAAGTTTTTACTAGAAAAAAATCTAAAGTAATACCTTCATATTCTGAGAGCATTTTATTTAAGTTTTATGAGATGAAAGCCCCAGTGTAAATGTTCCGTTTATAGTATGTTGTCTTTGTATAAGAGTCCCTAAAAATTTAAATAATGACGTTACCTAATATAATTCACAAAATAACACTACATATTTTAAAACCTTATAACTATATCTTAATTTATTGATAAAACTTTTTCCTATGTAATCATTCGACACCTATTTTTTTTTAAATGTTAGATTGTTAGATCATCAATTTGCTCACCCTATACTAAAGCCTTTGAAGGATTGAGTTACACAATAAATTGGCTAACAGTATTGCCTCTGCCTCCGTCCCCTTCGCACAGATCGGATCGCCTGCAATTGCAATCTCTTGGAGCATGCACCGTGAAAAAATATTATCTTTCAATTATCGCACCGCCATCTTGCCGTCTATTTAGTCAGCTGCGCCGGCAATAAGAATTGAAAATAAAAGGGGACGCAGCCTTGTTAAGTGGGAAACCATTTTGTCTCCCGGAAATACGTTTTTGAAGAAAACAACCGTATTATTCTGTCGGAGCAACGGGCGTGTTTCGCGATAGCATATCTTTTTATAATATTGAAATATTATTTATTCAGACGTTTACGGCTATATTATTATTTACATTTACACAGAGAGAGAGAATTATATAGCATCGTTATTCAGAATTGTTTTTCTTTACAGATGATAATTATTTCGCCTTTTTAATATTTCTGTTACGATTCAACACTTTTCTTGGAAATAACAGCTTACATTATAACAGATTTAGAAAACTGACAATATCCATTCTTAATTGCCACAAAAACGATACAGACAGAGAGACAGCAATACTGTCAGTCTGTCGTCTATCTGTTTGTTCGTATGTCACGGGCAAGGCTTGGAACCAGTATTCCAAATATTGGTATTAAACCGGCAATACCGTTCGCGTCGCATTCGTATTGCTGTATCTAGTGCCCAATCCAACTGCCGCTATTTGTCCCACTCGCACACATAAAATTTTATCCGCTGATCTGATATCGGTATTAATACTTATATTATATAGCCGTGCCCCGCGGTTTCACCCGCGTTTTACTCGTTTCCGTGGAAATACCGAGATAAAATATATAGGTATCAACTCTTAACATCTTACACACGTGATAACTTTTAAACGAAATATCCGATTGAGATGAAACAAAAAGTATTTTACTTCTACATAAATACTCTTGAAAACATAATGCTTCATTTCGATAAAGATAATGTTACGATACATATTTAACGTAGTTTTTTTTTCTTCAGACGATTTAATAATTATTTTGAACACAAAGTCGGTTATTGTGATTAAACCATGATAGCTAGATATATATTCTTGCGGACTTTTTTGTAGGTCTTAATGGGATCTACAAACCCGTAGTACATCATTTTGTTCTATTGCCAATAGTTTTTGTAGCACACGCAAAAATTGGTTTTCGATTTTACACCTTGTGTTACAAAATAGCAATTTTATGACGGATCCTTAATTTTGAAAAAAAAAAATATATCCTATAGCCTTCCTCGATAAATGGACTACCCAACACTGAAAGAATCATTCAAATCGGACCAGTAGTTCCATAGATTAGCGCGTTCAAACAAACAAACAAACTATGCAGCTTTATACTATTTGCATAGATTCGTAAAATACCGGTATTTTTGAAGCTATAAAACCTTTAAAATACCGGTATATTTAAAAATATACCGGTATTATTTTTGCCTGTACAAAATTTATTACCGGTTCGTTGTCAAGGCCAATGATACCGGTATTCGAAAATACCTGTATTCCAAGCCCTGGTCATGGGTCTCTAGATCGTTTTATACTTCACTGACGGAGTAACCGTGCGCAGGCGCTTACTTATGTA